ATCTGCACATAATCACAAATATTTATATTTTATTGGTTTTCTTGATTAAGTCGGAACCTGCTCGCTTTAACTATCCATACTGATCCACCAATATTTGGGTTCTCATCAATTATTACCCCCCCCCCTCTTTCTGCTCCACTTTCTCTGTATATGCTCCTGCGTTTGTATACACAACACAGCGTTGCCTCAGTTGTATAGGCTTTTTAGTTATTTGGGCTTCAATTCAATTTTGATTGACAGGTAGTATAATTTGTGATTAATTACTTTTGGACTAAAATACAGAATTCTGTTATATATCAATGTCGATGTAGGATGTTATATTTCAAAAATAGTGCACTGCAAGAACAATGGGTTGCACATATTCTGTACACGCAGTTGGAAGCAGGGAGAAGAAGAAGAATATTCCTGAAGTTTCGATCTTTGTCCCCTCAATGCGTGTTCCCGGGCAATGTGATGTTCAGAGGACGCTTAGACGCCTAATACCGACAGATCTTGCCGATAGAATAAGTTCACTTCGGAATCAGATCGTGTTAGTGGCAGAGGACACTGGTCTGGTCTTGTTGTGAGCCCGTTGTTTTTGTTTTTCTTTCCGTTGGTTCTCGTATGACACACTTTTCTCACGACAACTTCTTGATTTTCCAGGTGGGTCTGCTATTCCCGAATTACAACGAGCACTGGAGGAGTACTTGCCTCTTCTAGTTGGCCTAACTGCCAAAGGTTTTACTCTTTCTGTCACTCTACATCCATAGGTATTCATATTAAACAATGTATTAGAATGAGTAATTCTGGATTAACAGATCATGGTCTTCAAGAATTAGTGGAATTCAAGTGGAGAAGTTTACAAGATGGACGGCAAGTAAGAATCCCACAAAGTAATGTTTGTTGTGCAAAATATTTAGTCATGATATAAATTTTGGATAAATTTGATCTGTTATTTGATGATCAGGAAGCCTGTGTCGCAAACTCCTGGTTTGAAGTGCTCTCTGTTCTCCACATGATGGCTATGTTGACATTGACGGAGGCGAATTCAATACTGATTCCTACGAATCATGCTGGTTCTTCTGAAAGAGTTGTATCTTTGTCTCTCTCAGATATTTGACTTTTTTGGAATCCAATTTGACCCTGTTGATGGAAACCTTGGCTGATCGGAAATTCTTAGCGAGTGTACTGCCAGAAAGCATGAGGGATGCTGTTGATTTATTGCTGAAGGCAGCTGGCTACTTGGAATTTTGTGTCCGGGAGGTTCTCCTTCACATACCACCTGATATTAAGTAAGCATATATTCATATAGTTTTGGCTATTTTAGCTCGGATTCTTATTAGCCTCTATTTCTAAAAATCATCTTTTTGTGATTAGGAATAGGTTGCCGAAAGATTTGCAGGAGAATGTCTTAGAGACTAGTTTCATTCAAGCACTAGGGCAGGTACACATTTGTTTAGGTTTTCTAAGAAACCTGATTCATATATGACACCACTCACGGAGAATTATAATGTGCCACATCCCAATTTTCTAATGAGGAGATGACTATGTATTTTCAACTTGTTCACAGAAAATTAACGTAAGAGCAATAAGAGATATTGTGGTTGAGGAATCATTGTGCATGTAGAGTGTTGCCTACACATTAAGAAATAAGAACAAGAATGGGAAGACACCAGGTCCATGTAGTTGTTAAACGGTTTGTATGCCGATGTCCACTTCATTCCCATCCCCCACTACTCGTGCATCATGTCATTTGCTCAAAAAACAAAAGAAAAAAAAAAGAGGAACTAGGAGAATGGATCTACTTTCAGCAACCTATTCTATGGTGATACGAGTAATGTATTTCAATCATTCTTATATCTTATTTACCTCTACAACCTAAATGATACTAAAGTGATTATTTCAAAGCATCAATGGCACAAATACATGTTGACACTCTGTTAGATGACAAATCTAGGGAACTGAAATGCAGCTCAGTTTAGCCGTTGGAAGTCAAAATGCCACTTTATCAGTGAAAAGGAGGCTGGCTTGTGAACAGTTGAGCTATTTTGGGCAGGTATGTTGTTTTTCAAAAATGCAGGCACAAAATCATGTAGTTTCCACTTATCCTTGACAAATATTGTTTTGATTACACTGCTAATTTCGTGATTCACTGAGCAAGCAACATTACAACTTGTAAATTCTAGACAACTTTCAAGTGAATAGTGGTTGAGAAGCTGTATATGTTTTATCAAGTTGGCTTATTAGAAAGCTGATAACTGCCAATTTCCTTGTCTGGAATGTCATGTTTCTCTTGATGACCTTGAGGCCAATCTCAGTTGAAGTGCTCCTTCCTGCATCTATTTGTTTTGTTATTTGGTGCATGAAGAGGCAAAAGTAGTAGTTCAGTATTCGGTAATGTCTTCTTCTTCTTAATAAACTAAGTCTCTGGGTACTAAAATCCGTTAAAATATCAATCTGAAAATAGAATCAAGGTTTCTGCATGAGATTGCAAAGTTTGACAGGATGAGTCGAATATGTTGGAAAGAAATGGTACAGCTACAGATTGGTTAAGTGCATGAAGGAAGAAGGATGGGTGGATACAGGCACGTGATTTATATAGCATTTGTGGGATGCTTTTGACATGGGAAAGCTCCCATACATTTGTTTCACTATAATGATTAGAGGAATTACACATTGCGGTTCACTAAATTGGCCTTCCTTCTGGAATATCACTGCTAAGGCTGTAAACATATTTAGGTTTTGCAGGCTAAGGGGTTTTCCTGATAGATTATCTCCCTGATTACACCTAGCTGACTGATGCGAAGTTGCGATTTTAGACAAATTCTTTTGAAAAATGCATTTGTCTTATGGGCCATTTATGGAACATTAAAAGATCACGAAAATGATACAAACAATGCCTGTATTCATCTCTCATTCAGATGATTAGTAATTATATTTTTCAAAACTACTCTCTTTATATTTTCTTTTGGTGTTTTCACTTGAACACCCGTATATGTGATGGATTTTATTGGAACAATTGGTTGTTCCTGCTTGATTTGGTTTTGTGTTGGAACGAAAGAAAGACAGGATAGAAGATTAAGCCCTTCCCTTGCAGGCTGCCCTCGTGTACTTTTCTTTTATTTGTTGATTTGTTTCTTCTGGGAATTCAACTCGAAGCTTCATGTTGTTATTCCACTGAAACTGCCTTATTTTCTTTTCGTTTTGTTTCTAGAAGTAGACTCGCTAGAAAAGCAATTGCCTATGTCCTAGATATGGAAGTGTACTCATGTATCTAAAAGCATAGTCCTTTTCTCCCTTTATCAGGCTCATTACTGCTTGTCTGGATACAACAACAATAATGGACATGGGAAGAAGCATCTGTTGTTCATCAAATGGAAGTACCTTGAAGCGAAGGTTCTCACTGCTCTCAGTATTGTTTTTCCTGTATTATGTACTTTCCATTGTCCAGATAGTAATAAACCTATATCATTGTCAGGCTGCAGCTTATTATTTCCATGGTCTAATACTTGACAAGGGTACCGAACCAGCAAGCCACGTTAGTGCTGTGTGTTGTTTCCTTGCTGCTGACGAACTACTAGCAGAGAGCAAGAAGGCATGTTTAAGCTTTTGCCTTGCAGTTCCTGTGACCAGGTTGGATTTGAATGTGTTACGTTCAATGCGAAGAAATCCTTCCATTATGGTGCTGTCACATTTGAACGCATTGTCTTAATTCCTCTAATCACTCCCTGATTTCTTTTCTTAAGGGCTCCTCCACTCCAGGGTGCTATGAAGCATTTAAATAGGAAAATTCCTGAAACTGCATCTAGGAAGTCTCAGATGTATGGCTCCCTTATAGACCAAGACAAGTAAGGAGTTCAACATTGTTCTGTGATATCCCCTCTCTTTCTAAGCTTCCGCTGTTTCTTGATTCTTGTGATATCGCCTCTTTGATACATTTCATTATATTTACTTGGAATATGATGCAGGGGTCTCCAAATCTTACCCGATCTTCCAGAATTTCAGCAGTCACTAAAACCTGATGACTATGAGTTGCCTGAAATAGATTCAGCATGGGATAGTAAAAAATGGGAGATGCCAGGTCTAATCCTGAAAGAGCACCTTAACGACAGTGAAGAGGAGATGATACCTGAATGAAGCACTGTGCGACCTTTCTCTTTTATGTCATTTTGTAATTGGCGAAGAATTTCTATATTTGCCGTTTTACACTTCAGCGGATGATGATGCCCGGAGACTATTGTACATTCTTATACAAGCAAACATATACTCCTCCAAGATAACCAGGTGTTAGTGTTTTGTATCATGTTTTACTATGTGGCATCTCAAAAACCTCCACTTTATTCTATTTTAAAGCCTCACCACTATGCACAGCCCATCTATATCCAGAACCAGGGTGTATTTATTGAAAACAGATTTCATAGGTATGTGAATTAGTATGTTTACTTTAGGGTGTTTTGCATCCATGGTTTTCTTAGTCCATCGTTTGGGGAACCTATATTCATGTAGATAAGGGGTATCAGAATATGGATATGTACATTGGAGTTGGAAAGAGGATTAGATATATCACAACAATGTGATGGTTGCCATGAGTGAAGTTTACCATAAGAGCAAGATCCATGTTGACAAAGCAATGGAAACTATTTGTGTCGTCACTGTGTGGGGATGAAACTTGATCTCTGTCTTCTCAGTCTACTTCCTAGGTAGTTACTTTCATGGATTGCAAGAGGTTATTCCACCTTGAAGGAATGAACATTGATTTGTTTTCAGGTTCTAGTCTCAGGATAGGATAAAGCTATATATATCAATAACCTTTTGAATTTAAACCATCTTTTAGAGGGGCTTCAAGTTCTGGTAGTAGTATGCAAAATCATGACAGGTAATTATTAGCAAGAGAAGATATTATATGTATTGATGCCTACATACATAATTCTTTTCTTATACTGATTTCCTGCATGCAAATTGAGTGTGTACAGAATGTAGAATCCTAGAAAACAGAACAGAGCAGCCCTCCTGGTCCTCCTTCATTCCATGGCCGCCGGAGACTTGAGCTTGTATGCAGCCATGATTGTAAGCGTGAAGAGGGAAAAGAAGGCCAAGTAAGAGAATAAAAGGGAAAGCATCACTTTGCCACAGAATTTACCCATGTGATCGCAAATGGCCATCCAACCTGTCTGGCTCTGTCCAAAACGACCCACGTAACCCACCGCAGTTGCTGCCGCACATCCCGATATCGCCAACACCATCGTCACCTGTCGAAACAGTACCACCACTAGGTTGTCAAAATTCGACACGATACAATTAATCGGCACAAATTAAACGTGTTTTGGTGAGATTTTAACGGATTTAAATGATAAACGGGTCGACACGTCAAACACGTTTAATAACACAGATCATGTTCGGGTAAGACCTGTCAAACCGTTTATCACACGTTTACCCGTTTAAATAAAATTAATATAATAATAAATTAATAATTATTTTAAAAAATTAGCAAGAAAAAAGAAATAAAAAAATCAATAAAAAAAAAAGTACAGTAGTAGTTCAAAGATAAAGAAGAAGAGTTGAAGAGCACTTCAAAGGCAAAGACAAACAAATGTCTTTTTTTTTTGTTCCACGTTGAAAAATGAGGGGAGATGAGGAGGGTTGAGTTGCCTATAAAAGACAATAGCCTCTTGCTTTTATTTTTAAAGCCTTCAAGTCTTATTTTTCAAAGACAAATGAAAGGAGTTATAAAACACTTCAAAGATAAAGACAAATGTATTTTATTTTTGTCCCATATTAGAAAATGAGAAAAGATGGGGAGAGTGAGTTACCTACAAAAGGTAATAGCCTCTTGTTTTTTTTTTTTAAAGCCTTCAAGTCTTATTTTTATGAGATTTGATTTAAAATTTCTCTTTTTTGAACTAAGTGTAATTAGTAGTAAAAAAAATGAAGTATTAAAATTTGTTATTATAATGTTTTTAAAATTAAACGGGTTAAAGGAGTCGTGTCGTGTTACCCGTTTATTAAACGAGTCGTGTTCGTGTTGAGATTTTTTATCCGTTTATTAAACGTGTCGTGTTGTGTATGAGTTTATACGTTTTTCACTCATCACTCGTTTAGTCCAACACGTAACCGTTTAATCCGACACAATTAACACCCCTACCCACCACCATAGATTCAACTTGAGTTCAACTTACTCCTCCATATTTAGTATAGGTAGAAAACATTAATTTTTTCTAGTTTTCTTCTCTTCTTTTTTTTTTTTTTTATTCTAGGAATGAAACAGTAATGAAGAAGCAATAAATTTTGCTTACCATATCATGCAAAAGCGCATAGAAATAATTTCCGGTGTTTGATTTTGGATGGTTCAACGCAGAAACAAGGATGAGTGACATAAAAGAGCAAGCGCATACCACAGCATCTGCCCCAACTTTGAACCTATATATATATATATATATATAATAAAATAAAATAAAACAAACACAGAAAGGGGTGGTCAGTCTCAATGCATTTCTTTCGATTTTGTTTTGTTCGTATTGGCGATCGAGATTTAAAAAATAATAATAATAATTACCTGAATGCAGATGAGTAGGTGTAACGGGCTTGCATATCAATTCCAAAAATGGATATTGACTGGGCACTCGTGACCATTGTAGCTATTGCAGAAAGCGTAAACCCAATGGCCAAAACTCTGAGGGTGAGTTGAGCCATGAAGAAACCTCTCCTCGACGCTGGGCTTGACATTTTGGGTGATGAAGCTACGACTTGGATAGTGAAAGAAGTCTTCTGTTTTGCAATCTCACACTCCATTTAAAAAAAACAATGGCCTTTGCCGGGACGGAAGTCTATGAGAGGCAAAAAAAAAAAACCAGCGGCGGAAAAGAGGAGAGAATCAGCACTCACTTAATGAACAAATCTTTTGATTAAAGAGAGAGAGGGATAAAAGGACGCTTTAATTAAAATAAGGATTCATTCTACTGAGAAAGAAAAACATTAAATATAATTATTTTTTCCCTTAAGTACCATTAAAATAGGGATTTGACTGTTTATGGCAAAAAAAGATTTATTTAGTCTTTTTTTATTAGTTTAGACACAACTTTATTAAGTTGAAACTAAGGATTGACTTTGATATTGACTAATTCCTATTGCCTGCTTCATTTAAATTTTGATGTAATTTAATTAGTATTGGTTGACTTGACTCATATACGCACGCCCCTGGCCTAATCGAATCAACTAGTTGCAACAACTCACTAATGTCTTTGTGTGGGTGAGCTAAGGTAAGGTAAGGAAGTCCCAAAACAGCAGTATTGCACGATCCTTACCAAAGCATTAGGCATAGCCAGTAGCCAGTAGCCAGTAGCCAGTAGCCAGTAGCCAGTAGCCAGTAGCAGTCTTCTTGGCCCTTCCTATTTAAATCTATTACTCCCATTACCGTTCCGTTCCCGGCACTTCAATTCAGGTTCAGCAAAAATCAAGGGCATTATTGGGATTTAGGCAAAATAATTAATTACCATTAATGCTTGGAGTGAGACAAATGGAAAGTCACAAAATCTGAACGTCATCGCCAGAGAATGATATCAAACTGTTTGGACCAAATTTTACAGTTTTGGTGAATAGACGATTAAAAGTCAAGGAGAATTCACACATGGCATGGCATGGCATTCATTTAATCAAAAATAAATATACAGCTAATAGTGGAACCTACAATGTAAGAAAATGGCCAAACCAGTGGTCTGAGACATGTATTGCATGATCCTTACCAAAGCATTAGGCATAATTTGATGAATGTCATGCATGAATTAATGAGTGGCCCGATAAATATGTCAGGACACATGAATTAAAGGTCCTTTAATATTATTCGAAACCCAATATTAGAGGAAGGAAATATCAATCCAATGTTTTTTCTTGTAGAAAACCAAGGGCCACCAATGATGGCACCCAACATGGGTCCTAGTTTTTAACATCAAAACCACTTTAACATGATATTTGAAAGAGAACCTATCGAGCTCTTCTCTAATTTTTATCACCCTACGAATCGTAGGGGTAGAAATTGGCCTAGGGTGGCTCAAGATCACCCTAGGAGGAGTCGTGAGATACACCCCATGCCTTATATAGATCCATTTAGCAGATGAACCCCTGACTTGAGTAACCCCTAGAACTATTTGAAAACATAAAAATCCATAACAACATTGTTGTCAATAAAAAACCAGTTAATGGAAATGACTCAAGACTTGTATGGTCATAGACTTCAAAAGACAAAGAGACCAATTTTTAGAAAATCATATCCCCCATGCCTAGACTTTTTTTTTTTTTTTTTGGGGGGAGGAATGAAACTTGAACCCTTGACCATGCTTAGACTTTGAGGAAATTCGCAGAGAATATAAAATTATTGAATTTAACTAATTATCTGAAAAAGGGAATCAATCTATAATCGAGCATATTGGTAGGTTTACTTTCTAATTTTGTGAAATTGGGAACGATGGGAATTTAAAAATAAAGTCATTCCCACAATCTTTGACCAAAACTGATTTTTCATGATTCATTAACTTATTAGCTAATTTAATTAAGATATAACAAAAGATAAAAAAATAGTTTCATACTCAATTATTTCAAAATGAAGAAAAGTGTCGGTGACAGACTTATTCAAACTAAGACAAAAGTCTAATGAGTTTGCAGAAAAGTACATCGACAAATTCAAAAAGAGAATAAATAAATGTCATGTCTATATGCCTAAAATATAACTTTTAAAATTGACCCAAAATAATTTAGACATTGAATTAAGAAAGAAATTTGAAGGAATGAAGGTAAGAAATTTATTTGAACCCTTAGTCGTAGCCACTGGGTATTAAATGTTACTCAGAGAAGAACAACAAAGGAAGAATAATGCATTGGGCACATACTACCAGGACCTAGATGGATACATGAAAGTTGATTTTGCACAAATAATAGGAAAATCTCCAATTGTGTATAATAATGTGAAAAGAATAGAAGATCCTATAGATATGCCATTAAACCACCCATTAAAAAAGATACACCGGTATCGATAGTATTCTTTTGATTTATTCATAAGAGCATCTTCAATCATGGCTCAAATTTTTACCCAAATTTAAGTTAATATTTGAGTAAAAAACTTGATTTGATACAAATAGCTCCAATGAATACACTCAAATTTAAAGAAGGAGAAACTTAAACTTAAACTTAAATGAGGACAAACTCAAAATTAAATAAGAGTAAAGAAGACTATTGGATCTTTAAAAGAGGATAAAATCTCACTATTAAAGATTTTGGTAAGAATTTAAGTCTCCCTCAATTTGAGTAAAAAAAAAAAAAATCTCTTGATTTGGTACAAGTTTGAGTAAGAGTAGGAGTAAATTTTTTATATTTTTTTACTCAAATTTAAATTTGAATCTAAATTTGAATTAGAGTTGAAGATGCTCTCTTTAATAAGATAATTGGTCAGAAGTTCATAACTCTTTCAGAGGTATATGTTATCCCTCCAGAAAAAGATAAAAAGGGAAAAAAATATTACAAGTGACATAATTCATTGCGACATTCAACTAAATTACATTACTTTCAAAAATCATGTACAAAATTTGATTCAAAGAGGATGCTCAAATATTCAACTCAGGTCAAGAAAAGAAGGAAATAATAGTCTCAGATGAATCAACCAATCACCAGTAAACTTGGTCCCAAAGAAGAGAAAGAGTCGCGGGTTATGTGCTCCAGATGTGCCAAAAAATTGAACAAGCCGAAATCATATATACTGATATTGTGTGTGACTTTCTTCTTTCCTTTTCTGGGTTTGGGTTGTACTGGGACATCCGAAGCATAACCCAGACGCCTCTCTGTCTCTCTCTCTCTCTCTCAAACACACCCCACACACAAAAAACACAGTTTCAGTAGTACAGCTATGATCAGGAAGGACCCTAACATTAAGTTCCCTACCGGTCATTCCATGTGTCACTTGCGATCTGGCCTAGCATCAGTTTTTTTGTACAACAAGAACTTATATTATACTACATCAAAGTGGTGGCGAGAATCTTAACAAAGGAACGAGTGACCCCCAAAAAAAAATCTTAACAAAGGAAATGAATTTTGACACGTGACCTATCAGCTTGTGAATTTCCAACAATGCGCAGAGTTCAAATTGTCCGTAATTTATAGCCTTTACGGGTGAAAATGCGTTTATGCCATTTCGAGACAAAATCGCCCAAAAGGATCGATCATACTACAGACTTATATACACAGACAGCAGCAAAACCTCGTGGATATTTCAGCAACTGATATCAAAGTACTTTGGATCTTCAGGGAAATGGTATTCCACGTTCAACTGCAATGGGAAAGCAATAACTCATTCTTAGGCATGTAGAAACCAAGATGTAACATTCTAGTTTCCTAATCTATACCAAATCTTCAAGTCAGGCATGCTTATAGAACATATAAAAGACCTACCGAGTTAACTCCATCTTCCAAAGCCAAGACATTTTAATTAGTTTTTAAGAGTTTTATTTGCCACCTTCTAAGGTTTAGGGGCTATCCATGCTATTACCATTAGCAAATAACTTAAAAGAGTGGTTTGCCAACCTCCAAGGGGAAGGTGTGGAAGTCATTTTTTAGTTTCTGCAAGGTTCTTGTTGAATTTCATTAGTTTCTAAACATGATCCTGATTCAGATAAAAATCTCAAAAGCTGGAAATCTAACCATATTTCAATCAGCTGATTCACTGTACAAACCACAAGGTCAGCAAATTAAGTCTAAAGACCTTGTATCATGCAGCCAGAACACAGATAATGATGGTACAAAGGCTTAAGTACTTCAGAAGTGAACAACCAAAAACCCACCGTAGGTGCATGGTTTCAAGGAATCAAAGCTTTCATCTACCAGCTCCAATGATCAGGAATTAGTGACAATGAGCACAGGACAAGTTTAGACACTTTATAGCCAGGATGGTGGAGTAATTACATAAATAATACTTGCTAAGGGCAAGTCAAGAAACAAAATTTGCAGCATTTAAAAGTTAACAATCTCACCATACATAACACATGCATCGAGGAAGAACTTCTAGATCAAGTCAAAATGCAATCTAAAGCCTTATTTTACATGAACTTAAAGGAGCATACCTTCCCTTCGTCAGCATCTGAATGACGTTGAGGGAACACCACCTTCAGATCATTGTATAAATAAAATCTCCGCTCCCCACCATTATCTAAGCTATTGCTTTGTGGTGCAGAAAGAGGCTCTGATTTGCATCTCTGGGCTGACCTTGAGCATTTCTTAGGGGAAGGGCATAGAAACCGAATGTGAAGAGCATAACGTAGAGAACCAACACTGGTAGTATACCCATTACACTTTGAAAAAGAATATTCAGGTTTCCTATCATTTTCACAGTATAAATCCACCCACCTGAAACCCTTGTCATCAGTTATGTGGCATGCGTTGGATCCAGAGCCTTCTACTCCATCCACGATTTGGTCAGCATGACTTCTCTCTGGGACGAGAGTGGCCTTGTCCTCATATTTCATGTCAAATTTTTTCTGCTCTCCTCTCCCATGTGTAGGAGTTGGGCCAGAAGAAGCTAAGGTAACCTTCTGACGCAAGAATGTCTAATTCGATTTGAAGAAGATGCAAAAAATACTCATTAACTAATTTCAGGTCCACAATCTTGTTGCCACAAGGAAAAAGTATAGCAAGTTGTACTGAAAAGACAACAATCATGTGCAATTATAAACAATCCTTTTAATGTGCTCAACCAAATTGGCAAAGCTTGACCGGCCTGAATCCTTGATGATGTATCATGTTCTCTCAATACAGCCCCCTAATTATCTTCTTTTTACTTTATTCTCTATTCTCTATTTTTCCACATTGTAAAGTCCTAGGAAAAAAGATAAAGCTTTCTGATTTACATAATATTTAGAAGTTTTCGTAGATTATCATAAGAAATCAATATTCTGAATCAATTTAGTAAAATTATCATTTGATTTTCCTTAGCAGCTGAATAATAAGGTTCAAGCATTCACAGGCACAATGGAATATTCTATGCATCAAAGTCGAAGCCTTGATGCCATTACGACATTATGAGATGCCAGAGCAAGATTCAAATCGTAATTTTTTTAATCAACTTCAAGCTACTAGAGCCCTTAATTTCTATAATATTCTACAAAAGGCAAAGTTCAAAAACCTCGCTGATTATAAGCTGCATAATATCTGAATTTTTATCCAAACTTACTCTTGAACTACTCGACATCAATTCATTCCTGCTACTTCTGGCAGAGCTTTTGCATTTTGCTTCTAGCTTAGATTTTAGATATTAGACAAAAGAAGAGAAATCATGCTCTCCATTTTTTTTTAACTGAAACAATTTTCAATGGTGCTGTAATTCATCTTTGTGCCCAATTCCAGAAAATTTTAGCCAATCTTTTTTGTTTAATTTACCCTTCGGGTTATCCAAGAATTCATTCATTTCAGCCCTTCAATCATCTAGCTGAACTGGAGTTTGCTAAACCTATGGTTCTTGATGGCCACAATACAGCTCCATAAAGCCATAAACTAAGGGTGATCTTGATATTGCCTCATACAACAAACTTACATAACTTGACCTAGTATTCCTAAAGAACAGCCCGTCTCAACCATCCAAGTCTAACACAGTGAATATTTTTCCCAACATTTTCACATTTGAGCTGCTGACACTAAAATAAAGAAAAACAATGTGATGATGCCAAATGCAAAAAAAGAATCCTTTGCATGTAGTGGGGGCAGAGAGAAAGCAAAGTGAAAGCAAAAAATGCAATAACACATCAATCATGTAGCCAAAAATTCTAACAAGAATGAGGTCAAATTAGTTAGGTACCGTTAAGTCTAGGACCATCAATTGACAATTTCATGACAAGTATTTATCTCTAGTTAGTGTTACCCAACAAGGCACCAAAAGTGAAGAGCAAGTGCAAGCCTCAAAACTACTGGAGGATTCGGAGCTTCAACAAGCCAATTTAGCTTCGCAATGTGGACTGCATCAAGATTGAAGACTCCGGACTCTTAGGGACATTATCCTAGATCATTTAGGACATATATTGGTGTAGTCATATTCCCTGAAACATAGGTCACCTATTTTGGACAACATGGAAATTCACAGAACAAATCAAGCTTGGAGTTGACTGATTGACCAAGTGTAGTGGGCTTGTACCAACCAGTCGTCCACATGACAGATTTGTGTCTGAAAACTAGCCATTGCCTCAGCCCGTATATTGTTTTCCTTCATCTTCTCAGACAATGTTTTGAGGAGATTAAGGTTTCTCTCATCACAAATTTACTTCCATACATTTCCTTCATCTTCACAAACAATGTTTTGATGAGATTAGGGTTTCTCTCATCACACATTTACTTCCATACACAATAGGAGAGAGAAAAAAAATTTGGGACATTTTACCCTTGTATTTGAAGGAGAAGTAGTTGAAGAAGCAAAAGTACATGGAATGATTTGATATGTGGTGCACGTCAACTAGCATAGTGGGTTGATTTGGTCCGTGGATCCCAGGTACGTGTAAAGGTAGATGGTTAATTTGGTACTTAGTACAATACAAGGTATAATAATTTTTTGGTGAACAGTGCAATGCAGGTATGCGTAGTTGGTATACTATTTTGGGTCAAAGTTTGCTTTTATGGTTCTTATCCAGATCTCTTTTCACTAGTATATGAAATGTCATATAATTATATACCTACACCCATAATTTACTAATATTAATTTTATTTTTTTGATAAGTGTTCCAAAGAGAACCATAGTCCAAGTCAACATATTGGCTAGTAATTCTAAATAATCAAAGCTAGTGGTTGCAGATTTGTATTATGATAAGTTTAAAGATCACCAAAATAAAGAACTTGGGGTTAGGTTTATAATTTGGGCTACCTAAATTGTGGTTTGATTAGGGGTTTAAGTTACAATTTGGGGTCAGTATTTTGGGCAATCCGGATCGCAAACTAACCCTGTCCAACTGATCCAGATCACAAACTAACCCTGTTTGGGGTCTTGCGACCCCAATTGGAGAAACACATGGGGTATCTATAATCTCAATACCTAAGTATGAGCCTAATGTATACCAGTCTTCAGGTAAGACGGGCCTTTAGATGGGATTGACAATTCCTATAATAAGCAACCTCGGAACAGCATATTACAGATATTGTTCTAACAACAAAACTTAAAGGCCACAAAGTTTGTAGAAGTGTTTCTGACATGCTTACAACTTTAAAAGGCCACCCAGATTTGATTTATCTTACCTTAGTACCAGCTGGCATGTCACTCAGATCATAATTACAAAAGAAAGTGTGAAGAGGTGTCTTCTCCGGGTTGCTCAAGACCTGTGTGCACATAAATCCAGTTTGATAGTAAATAAAAGCCAATTATTTCATCACATCCACAAGATGTCATGCCATTAAAACGAAAATAAAGCCGTAAAACTTCATGACAGTTCAACCTGATGCAAATCGCCATGTACGACATCAACAGGATACCCTTGTCCACTCATTTCCAACATTTGTCTTGAGACACAAAAGCATGAAAATGTGTGTCTAGATAACTCGTGTCTTAAGAGTTCCAAAGGGAACACGGAGTTGGCCAAGGGGCCACTTCTCATTCTTTTTTCCCCACCCCCTCCCCCTCCCCTTTTCATCTACACCCCCATCCCCAAAGCAACAAAAACAACAAGCAACATGCATATATATAAATTAATACAGCTGTTCATACAGTAACAAAACAAAATAAGATGCCTTCAAATTGAGGAAATTTTTGTAGAATTATCAACTTCTGACATGATTCAACTGTCCCAGTGTTCTTATACACATATCAAGGTAAATACAAGAAAAAAAGTACACAAGATAGTATATCACAAAAAAACAAATAAAAGTAGCTGCATTCTGGTGTCTAGATCCTAAGGAGTTGTATCCAACAACCATCCATATCAAAACCAAACCCACATGTTTGTGGCAGCATATCATGGTGAAACCAAGATTGGAGTAAAAGTACATGCAAAGCCCTCTCAAGAAAATGAAACAAGAGTTCAGAATCATGTAATGTAATGCATGCCAAGAAGAAAATAGGGAAATAAAAAATATCTCATTGGCATTAGCAATGCTGTTCTGCTCCTAAATGCAATTGCAAAATAAAATTAGACAAAAATAGCAGGAGACATTAACAAGCAGAAAAAAAACAAGGCAAAAACTAGGTCAGCCACAACGCCAACTGCATATATTGACATACCCTACCAGGACCATCTTATGAGGGAACAAAACAACTATATCATGATTCAAATTTGTATTTCAGCTCAATTTATTCAATCTGAGCCACTCTAGAATACATCAGATGTACCCAAATCATTTGTAACCACAACTAGGGGACAAAAAATAATACCAATTGTATGCGCCCTTTCACAGGAATACGCAAACGGCTTTTGGCACTTTGTGAATCATGATTGATAAGGCCTCTTTTCAAATTTTGGCTACTGCATTTGTTAGATGGAGGATTTCCTGCAAGATCGATGGATGCATAGTATAGTAAATAGCTATCTCCATCAACACTCGTCACTGCAAATGGAAGCTTCTGAGATTTAGGTGAAAAGCTCCCTCCAGTTATGTTTAGAACAGCTAGAAAACCGTCAATTCTCTGCAGAAATTAACAACGAAATATGGCCATTAGAGAGAACCTCAAGTTGAATATCTTTCTCGAGGTAAAATTTAAAAATGAGAACAATAACACTACACAAGAAAACTACCTAGGTTATGTAACATAAAAATTAACCTGACTGAGTTTTCCAGACGACAGCCGACCAGACAATAGAGATTCCTCAAATGAACCAACCAAAGACCTCCTAATTGGAAGTCCCCTCAAACTTTTACCCAGCTTCATGCAATGGGGGGCATTTGCCAAACCCAGACAGAAAGGCCAACACTTTCCAGTGTTATTTTCTGGTGAAGAAGATTCAATTTCTTTGTGTAGAAAATCTATATCATCTAAAGATTTGCTAGTTATCCTAAAATCCTCTTCTTCAGAGGCAAAGATAATGCCTGAGATATTTTCATCAAGTGACTGCTGCACATTTTTGAAGGTTAGATAACCGCCCTCTGTCTCCCTCCAGACTTTCCTGGATTCTCTTGCAGACTTCATCTTTTCAGAAAATCTTGGACCAAGGGGAGACAAAGAAAGAGAGGGCAAGATCACCTTTCGTGCAGGGATTGGCATTGAACCATCTTGGGTTCTTGACTTACTTGATTCTCTCAAGGGACCAAGTCTAGGGGAAGATAAACAAGTATGAGGTAATAGTTCCTTGTCCTCCAGTAAAGGCCCATCAGTGCAGAAAATGGAAGCTGTTCTACTGTAACCATATAGCATGCCATATTCTGAGCAATGAGATACAGATGAAATTGGTGTAGTGAAATGATTTTTGCTTCCAATATTTGCTTTCTTATAATCTTGCACCATGGAAACACTATAATCATCACTTGTGGCCTGAGAACTAATGCTGAAACTGCTGCAGCCAATATTCAAAGGATCACCACTGAATTGGTCAGGAAAAAACATACCATTCAATGGTGACAATAATCGCTTCCTGACAAGCAATCTTCTGGACTCAGATTCATTAATGGACATACCAATCATGGAAGGACGAACATGATTGGTTGAAACTCCAACAATTCCATCAACGAATTCACCCTTTCTACCAGATTCAAAACCCACAATCCTGGAAACAGGTTTCTGAATATTCCGCCCAGCTTTAGAAGTTAACAACTCAACCTTATTATCCTTAAACCCAAGTGTAGGATCATGATCATTTGTTGTAACATTTATGGTCCTTTTATGAAACAAAATGTCAGGGGACTTGGAGAGCTCCAATGAGGTTTTCCTCTGAAAGTCTCCTAAGGAAGAGCATACTGAATCCCTTGTTCTCAAACTCCCAACTTGCATTTCATCCAAATCACAAGTGCTCATACCAGAAGATCGAGGAAGACTTTGCACAAATGTGCTCAATGAACCTGAATCCTCCTCAGAAGTTCTGCGGGATGAAATTTGTGGTAATCCCATCACTAAACTTTGCAGAATTTAATCTTTATTGGGTTTACTTAAAAGACCTGACCAATTTCTTCTAATATTCTACTCTCCTATTGTTGTGCACTCATATCTCTACCAAGTGTTTCCAAGCTCGTCATTGGAACCCAAGCTGGCCATTTCAATCACTATAATTTAATCGGTCAAAGTCCAAATGCATTCAAATTTCAGAATATTAGAATCAAAAGAAATTCCCAATCTGGCACAGAGGCTAATACTAAGTGTCGAGAAAAGGCATTGGCATCTCAACTACCATGACTTCCTTCCAAGAATGCATTGATTTACTCATACACATGCTAAAGATCCAAGAATAATGGAGAAAGCACATCTTAAGACCTCCACACCAGCAAGCAACAATACAACTAGAATTCATAGCTTTCAAGTTTCAACCGCAACAATGCATATGCCTGAAATAAAATTCAAGATGGATATAAGCTATTCTGAGTTGTAAGCATTTATAGGAGTGGTTAAGTATATGTCAACATAATATGTGGGTTTGTATGTGCATCTGTGTATATATATATATGTATGGACTGTTCACATTATCCTTGCCATCGATTGGAAATCGGGACTTGCCCTCATTGGACTAAATCACTTCGTGCACTTAAAATGCAAACCAGCATTAATTGGTCAATTTAATTTGTATGAAGCATGGACTAGATCCGAAATTGGTTAGTAATCAAAACACACATGTTTTGAACTAAATAACAAATAAAAGAGATGAGAGCTGTATTAAAACAATGAATCAGAAAAGAAAAATAAACTATCAACCTGGCGATAAATTCTAGTGAGAAAAATAGGATAAACCCAATAGTTCTCATTCTGAATACATCAATCCAATGCCATAAATGCGTTTTGTTTAGAGAAAAAACTAAACAAACCAGGGCAGCAACCAGATCACACGCACACAAATTAAATTAACCGATGAGCATTACAAAGGTTCCCCCTATCAACAATGTAAACCACACACGACAACAATCCAAAGCAATTCTGCAAACAATCGAGGGCCAAGTAACAAGGATAACACTCGGGACAAAGGAATAGGTTACTTGTACGGCACACATTCACCAACAAATGGAGAGTATCATATGTATATATATTAAACCAAAAACCTCCAAAATCTCATGGTTCATCAACTACCATCAAGCAACCACTTCAAAAAAAAAAAAAAGAGCACAAACGCACGATCCATCGGAAAATCTAATTCACCAGCATTAACGCAATGAAAACACAAGGAAAGAAAAGGTTGGAGAACGATCGGAGCTTCCACATTGACACGCACCAGTGATCGGTGAATGAAGTCATGTTCGGTGCTGGTGATGATCTTCCATGCTAAAAGGTATGTGAAATATATATAGATGTTGATGAATCGAAAGTTGAATTCGTAGTAATTTTACTTTTAAAAAAAAAATGAAAAACAGATATACTAATAAATTAAGATTATTTTCTTCGTTTGCGTCTCGTGGAAAATGGAGGTGGTGGTGTTTTCCTTGCGGTTCTTCGAAGGCCCATGCGCGCTCTCTCTCTCTCTCTAGATATCTGCCCACTTTGAATTTATAACCTTTGTTGGGTTTTTGGCCCATACGACCAGCGTCATCACCGTTTTGAACCGGAATTTTCAGGCTGTAAATAGCCAAAAATAAATAAATAAAAGAAAGAAATAAGGATAGTGTATTTTTTGTTAACTATGCATTGTTCAGTTTTATATCGATTATTCTTTCAAAGTTTAGTGGTTGTCACCCTGACTTGAGTTAAATTAAAATACGTCCTTGAGAAATAAGAGTAATTGACCCTTAAAGAGTATGAAAATAAATTACATTGAAAAATCAGAATTATCAAATATCAAGTTTAATTATTAAATCACCCCTAAAAATTAAAAGAATAGTGGTTAATAGAAAGATTTTTGTCTCTCTTTTAGAAAAGGCCATTAAATTGGTAGAAATAAACTTAGGGCCCTAATTTTTTAAAAAAGTTTTGGATTCTTGGTAAAAAAATGGTTTTGTTTAATTGAGAGAAAAGGTAGTTTATAAGCCAAGCCAAGCCACACCAACCAAGCTTACCGAACGAACGGCTTCCAATGACCATACCAATAATACAACCATTCCTTATGGTCACATAATCTTTTTTTCCATAGATTTGTTATATTCACATCTATAATTTTACTGTTCGATTAAAGATTAAATTATTTTTATATTCTTTCAAGTAAAGTAAATCAAACCAAACGTATTTCAATTAAATAAACAAGCGTCCTGACCTCTACACTTGCAAGGCGGAGAGAAAATATGCCAATAAGACAGTTGGTGGTAGTATTACATTATACAGGCAGTTTATCGTTTAAACAATTAATTGGCCTCCCACTTAAAAGGTTTGGAAGGGAAAGGTGCCATAATTTGCAAAGACCCAAATATAAGGCACCCTCACTTTAATGTGGGCCAACCATCCCATGACAGCTTACAGAATGGATTGGGCCAACGTGACAATCCTCTTGGGCCGTGATGACTCCGTGAAGTGAACCACAAAAAAAAAAAAAAAAAAGGAAAGGGCTGCACAGCAATGGATATTAATGTTGACAAAATATGCAACATAGTTTCTTCTGCATCACCATATTTTGCTCGGATATTATTAATATAGTGGGATTGATTTTTTAGATACTCGAATTTTATGTTTTATCGTACCTTCAGACAGACACGAGTTATAACTAATTTAAATATAAGCCACATGAAACACTAAAGTCCATGCTGCATGTGGGATCACAACAGCACCAGCCAAACTATGGTTTTGCATTCCTAATGACCCAGTGGTTCTCATGAATGTCAACAATTGTAAAGGAGCCTTCCACTATCCATTATCCATTATCCATTATATAAGGAATAATTGCAAGTGAAGATAACTAGATACTGTATCTAAATTACCTCTGATCTGCAGAGGGTCCGAGGTTACTTTTGAAATAGCTGATAATGACTTCATGTTTGAAAGGGAATAGGCACCATTGGAGGTGAAGCTACTTCTCTAGCCATGTCTGGAATTCGAGGGGTTTCCAATATGTTAGACACGCATTAGCCATTGCAATTGCTACTGGGTATGGAGAAACTGTGCTGAAAAATTAATGGAGGAGGAGGAGGAAGTGAAGATGATGCATTTGACACCCGTGATGGCTTTTATTTGTTGGAAAAAACATCTTGATTTCTGAAGAACAATGGGGCAGAGTTCCCAATCACCCCAGAAGAACTTGCTGGCTTGAATGCTGAACTGCCGGGGGCCTGGAGAGCTCATGAAGGTCACTTATTTTGGGAGAAGATACAAGCGGAGGTGAAGCACTGCGAGGTAAAATTGGAGATGAAGAATACTGAGGAATTGTTCTCTAGCAATCAATCCAGAAACCAGTTGTGGTAATGGGGCCACTGGTAGATAAAGAAGGTTTGGTGGACCATGGTTTACTTGCTAATGGATCAGAAAATGCCTGTCTTCTGACTTTCTATCAAAAGCACTATGACATCACAGTCTGCGAGGGAAGGTGCATCGGCCAAAAGAAGGGGTAGTCCGACAGAGAGGTGGTTATTGTTGCTCTCTTTGGCAATCAACTGTGATTTTTAGTGGGTACTGACAAGTTATCATCCATAAAATTTTTCTCAGGCATATCAGTGTCCAGTGGGGATGAATTCCCATAAATTCCGGCTGCTTCCACCAAGGCTAGTAGGATTTGATTGGATGACAGCAGTGTTTATTCTTGAATTTGGACGTTTTGCATCAGCTGGAGTAGGTAGCACATGTGTGAAACTTCGTCGTGGATGGTCGCATTTCTCTTGTCCTTTCAGCCGGATCAAATTAAACTTCTCTGCAAAATGCAAATACTGGAGAAGAATGGCTGCCCACCCGACACTGCTGCCTGAGAACCTTCCCCCTGGTTTCTGCCAAGATTTATCTGCAGAAAACAGAGTGTAATAATAATTGTAGAAGCCACAAAATAGTTGACACTTGCAACCTCAAAGAATAGACGAAATCATAATTTCATAAGTTATGGACAAGTAGAAAAAATAACCATGGTTCTATAACAATGCCAACCCATTTCAAGATTGTTTTGGAGAAACTTAACAATCCTAAAGATTGAAGAAAATGTAATCTGATTATCTCATAAATGATGGTTACATGACAAATTACTTCCTTCAAAACTGAAAAATTAAGTTTCAATGACAATTCAAAAGGAATGCTGTTTTCTCACCACTGCATCCTCTGACTTTGAAGCTCGAGGAAATGGAGCATCCACCTGATCTAACTGCAAAAACAACCATTGTTGCAAGGGATGTGAGAACATTATATCGGTGAAGAGTCTGAAACTGAACATATGACTGCAAGGTTATAATCACCAACACCCATGTGTAAAAATGAAGATGCCATTTGGGTATTTTTATTTACTCTTTTCTCTTTTGGTTAAAATTTACAATTTCTTTCTTCGAATCAGAGCCAAGAAAAATCAAACAAACGAAGTCACTGCCACTATTTATGTGCCAAGCAATAACCCAGGCAACTATCAAGCCAATGAAAGTTAATTCACATACCACTTTCTCCATCAACATGCAGTGCAGTTGCTTCTAGTAAACAGGTCCCCGTTTCGTGCAGTGACTCTGAAAATGCTGACAGAAGATACAAATGGAAGATTAATTTGCTAAAATGTCAAAACAATTAAACAAGACAAAAATGGGACCTAATTCTTCATATTCGACTTAAGATTATTAATCATAAATGTTGTAAGATGGATAAGTCCTATTAGGTTACAGACTTATCAAGAAATTTTACATTAGTTACATCTATATTGACTACTAGTCATATCATCACGTGATCTTCTGATTTCATCGGGGAAAAATGTTTTGTCTCCCTTAATGGAGGGTACTAGAAGGGTAGACTAGGTATAAACATAAATTTAAAAAATTGAACTTGTATTTTAGAATAGAGGGGACTAGAAGTATAGTGCCTTGGTATAATGGCATTTGTCAGGCATGGGTATGAATTTGAGTAACAATACCTCAAACAACTTTCCATAGAACAGTAAATCATAGCAATATGGCTCATATCTGCACATTTTCACAATGTGTTAACGAGGTTAATACCTGAAAATTTTGGTTAGGCAAAAATAAAAAAATAAAACAAAAAAAAGCTGAAGCCACAGTTGGCACATATAAAAGATGGCCTAGTGTATGAGGCTATCGCCACAGGTGCACATGGAAAAGTTGAAAATACTAAGGTGGTAATGAGTGTGCATTCGCTATTATCTTTTAACTTCTGTAGCCTCATTGTGTTTCCGAAAGCATTAGTGTTATGGACAAGAGTGCTTCTTCAAACAGCAGGATCAAGGAGTGAATGGTGACACGTAGATAAAACATCACATTCTTTCATATATTTTAGCAAGAGAGATTGCTTTACGATTTTCACAATCCTTTAGACAGAAACAACTTATCAGTATAACTCAATTTTTAAAGGTCCTTGAAAAATTACTGCAAATGTAATGCAATTTTGAGCTTTGCGTCGCATAATTATTAATCAATTCAGTTTTGCCACAATATTTTACATAATTTACCGGGAAAAGCACACCAGAATGCGAATTCTAAAGCAAACAAATTAGTCGCAAAAAACACGAATGAAAAACTCTAATCTAATGTTCAGATTCACTTTTTCGCATGTGTTTACCTTTCCAATTAGAACACAGTAGTCGTCGGAGATAACAACACAATAAGCCACCTGAGCAACCCCATCCAAATGCGCTGAAGGTTGATGTTCTTTCTTCTCCTTCGCATCGCTTTTGTGAAGTGCGAAGTTTCGCAGCTTTTCCACAGGTTTCATGTCAAATAGTTCGGAAAAATATGGAAGTATGAGTGTTTATTTCGAGAGAGGGGAATGAAATGAAGACTCCGAAGAGCCCGATTAGTGAGGAGCTAAATTGGAAAAAAAAAAATAAAAGAGTAAATTAAAGTTGAGGATTAATTATCTCAAAGTAAAAGTTTGTCTAATTTTAGTTATTTAGTCTTTAAGATATTAAATATATTTTTATGTGGTCTATTATAAATGTAGCACCTAATATTTAAATATGAGTAAAAAAATAATTTGAATAATTCTTGATCAAATTTTTATCCAAATTTTGGTTAAAGTGTTATCCAAATTATACAGATTTGATATGAGTTATCTAAATTTTGATAAAAAAACTACTCATACTACACATTTTTTTGTCAAAATTAAGCTATCCAAATTATTTTTTTTACCCATATTTAAATATCACGTGATAAATTTATAATAAAAACCGTTAGTAATTTGGATATTGTTTGTTTGAGAGATTACAATAAAACATATTTAATATTTCAAGGACTAAAATAATACAATTGAAATATTATAATTAAAATAAAATAAATTCTATACTTTGAGGATCTTCGGTACAACTAACTCAAGCAATTAAGAGGGCAACCCTAGCAAACAAACTCTAATTTCAGCATCATATGTTGGTCACCTGATGGAATGAAAATGCGTGACCAACACTTGACTCGAGTAAAGGGTTATATTTGTCTGCTTGTAAATTTTTACTCCTAGGTTAGAAAACCTTCCTTATTTCATTTGATTTTGAAAAAAAAAAAAAAAAGGATAACAAACCCAAAAAGAAGAAGAAGAAGAAGATAGAAAGTGAGATATATTTTTTGGTATAGGCAAGTTTTATGACATCTACATAAAATAATTGAATTGAAACTTCTGAGAACAAATAAAAAATTATTTGCATAATTTAAGGATATAAATTATGAATTACTCAAACAGATAAAAGAGAGAGGGATGGACCAAGATTTTACACTTGCATCATCCAAGATACAAGATGACCATTTTATCCTTGGTTCAATATAAGTGTTTCATTAACAAAGAGTGAGAATGAGAGGCGGACCAGGGATTTCAATCTTAAGGGGAAGGGACCAAGATTTTACACTTGCATCATCCAAGATACAAGATGGCCACCCTGCCACCACCAGGTCCACTACCCCACTGCCACCCCTACTAGCCCCACCCTACCTTCACTGCCCCATCGTCACCACCACAATAGTGCATTCATCACCAATTGCTATCACCAATGCCCACCGTCCGTACCCACCATCACTTGTCCTTGCCCACAATCGTCGTCACCCACCCTTACCCCCACCAACCATTGCCACTCACTACCACCCACCTCCCATCATATCTACTATCATCACCATTATCGCTTAGAAACACTAGTCATCACCATCACCATCACCATCACCATCACTGTCATCTACCATCACTGTCGCCTATCACTACCACCGTCGTCACTCATAACTGCCACTATTACCATCGTTGCTAAAAATCCATCATCACCATTGTACACACGGTTGCCACCATCATTGCAATCATAACCGCCCATCATAACCATTAGTATCAGTATTTTCCACCCACCATTGTCATCGCTTACTCGTACTATAGTCAATGCTTAAATTCATTTCTCTCTCATTTATGTTTGTGATTTGATTTTGAGTATGCATATAAATATATTTATTGTTAACTATTTTTTTTACTACTTCATACCTTTAAACAAAGACAATAACTAGTAAACTTATAACCACCATTGTTAGACATATTCACTGAGATGACATCACTGCATACAGTCACTGAAAATCATATTGTTTGATACATTATTAACCTCCAACTTATGGCTATTCTGTATGGTGAGAAAAAGGGTGGAGCTTATAATCCCGGAAACAACAAAACCCAAACAATTACATATTGGGCTGGCTTCAAAATTTTCTAGGGTCAGGCTTGGGTAGTTGGGTTTGTTGTTATGAAGGCTTTTGATCTTCTTTTTTCATGAGTTGACATCAACCTTAAAGTAACATGTATATTTCTATGTTTTTTTAATATGGTGATAATCATATATCATGTTTTATCATATCTATATATGTAATTTTCACAAATGTGGTTTGAACCTATTATTGTGGAAGTAATCATGTATTGCGATACCAAAAGGGCCCTTAAAATTTTAAGATTTAGATATGATTGAAGCAAATATCCACATTCCACACTACATGTGGAGTGGATTTCACTTCAGCATCCTCCTCCTCCCTCCCCCCCCCCCCCCCCCCCCCCCCCCAACACACACACACACACGGAACCAATTCGATCGTCCCCACACCATGTTAGTTCACATGCATTCTCGGTCGGACATAATTAAGTGTGTTTATTGTTCTCTTTGTGGAAAGGGATATTGTTCGTGGTTGCATAGTTTAGTTAGCAAGCAACCCTCTTTGTTTGACAGCAACCCTCCCTCACAACTCAATTTGGTCGGGAGACGACATTACAAAAAACGCAGTTTGTCAATCCAACTCTTACATCCATCGTCATTTTTAATGGCAGCAATGTTATATTGATTTTATTTAAAAATTTTATTTTAGAAATTAATGATATGATTTCAATACAAATATTAAATTAATTATGAATTTTAATATTAAATAGGACTCATAAATAATCAATCTAATAATTATGCATCAAAATTTTTTTAAATAAAATTACTAAATAAAGTCTAAATAATATTTTTCATTCAGGTAGCTGTAAGTTGTTATTCTCTTGAGTTCTTTTATGGGCCTACCACATAGCCATAGGCCTACTTGACTGACAAAAACTGCGGCAGTAAAGTCAGCAATTTACGCCACAATCCGATCCAATCCAATCCGGATCGTCTACACCAGTACCTCTCCGGTCGTAGTCTATTGAATTCTAAATAGCATTATTATTATTATCATCGATGATTCCAAAACCCCTGTCACAAGCAAGCACATCAGCTACGCTGCTTTATCTTCCTTCGTTGTGGACTGTATTGCCCTTTCCCACTCTGCCATGGCAGGTTGACCAGACCTAACTCCTCCTTAATTATTTCATTTGAATCTCTCATCACCGCAGAGTCCTACTCCTCTTATTAGTCTCCTGCACATTTTCTGTATGCCGTCCTTTATTCGCGCACTGAACGTGGTACAGATGTTTGATGTCTCTAGCTCACCCGTCTTACAGTAACTCCAATTCAATTTATTTTTTATTTTTTAAAATTTATTTAAATATTACATTTCTTATTTTAAAAAATTATTTTTATAAGTTCACTCTAATCACGCTATCTGTTTTAACTAATTATTTTACCTAACTTTTACTAATTTCTAAAAATTTAAAGAGGATTGTAACATATATATAGAGAAAGAGATATGGAGAAAATTTAAAGAGATTAAATGATTTTTCACATTTGAAGAGTCATTTGGGTGAAATGAGAAATCGAAAGTAAGTTTGAGAGTTTTTTATTGTTTGACTAATTAAAAAAAAGAACATAGAGAGTTGGTTGAAATTATTCTTTTTTCTTTTTATGAACATATTTCTTTAACCATATTTTAGCAACTTATAACCTATAAACTTGACCCAACAACAGTGTAGACTAGAACATGAATTTAGACGTTAAAAATTTGACTATCGCATGAACTTAATTGATATCTTTGATTTATGAGCTATTACAAATATGAATCTAAGGTGACCATGTTTTGAACAATTCCTTTTTAATAGATTTAGGGTATTCATTAATTTACTTGTTTTGGGAGGTGGAACATGGATTTGTCGATTCTTAAGCATTGGATGTCTGCCCTTCGTGGCAGACATAGCGAATCTTATTCTCAAACCCCATGAGGGTTTGCACTATTTTTAATTTTTTGGTCAGGAAGGTATCCAAGTCTGCAAGTTTTTAAGAACAACCTACCTTGTTCTCTGTACCAACACAAGCAATGGCATTCTTTAATTAGGAGGAGAACCCAACAACATCATACACATGGATTAACCATTTTAAGCTTATAAATTATGCAGAGTTGGGGCACGCTACGCAATTGGAGACAGATGAGGACCCTTTTTTCTATCTTTGGTTCGACCAATTATTACAGTTTGAAAAGTGAGATTTAGTGGATCAAAAGTTTCCACCCACGGAACCTATTTATTAGGGGAAAAGAAGTTGTACTCTTGTTTATTTCTTTCTGATTTGAAAGATGCCTATGACCCCCCATCACATGTGATGTGCCGATGCTTACTTGCCACCATCGCTTTCTTGCCCATGTTCTTATGCTTGGGGATCTCTTTTAACCAAAAATTCTCATCAGATAACAACTCATATGTATGCGGTTCTCTCTCTCTCTCTCTCTCTCTCTCTCAATTCTTTGGATGCCTCTCCTTTTTTGTGTATCTTTGCGTGATCTTTCTCTCAAAAAAGTATTTGCCTTTTTTATAAATTAAAAAAAAAAAAAAAAAAAGGTCCAGATATTAGGCAACACTCAGTGATGCCTCTTTTCTTTTCTCACCATGATTCTTTCCAATTTGAAAAAGGCAAGAGAGATTGAAAAAAAGCAAGCAGACAAGGACTAATAATAACTAACCAGATACCATATATTTGTTTGGCATAATTAAAAAAAAAATATCTAGTGAAAGTCTGTCCGAGTTGGAATATGACAGAAAAAATTATTTGAGAGGATAAAATGCAGTCTTGATCTTCATAAGGTAAACTTAATGGTCTCACAAAAAATGTTGCGTAAGTAATAATTTCTCGCATACAACAACTTCAAATGGGGGCTGCTTTGAACCCTATCTCTCCATCATACAATAACACGAACGTACGAGAAAAAAAAACTAACGTATAGCAGCACTGCTTGATTCCTCATCATCTAATTGATCATCATGATCAGAAGAGACCTCAGTGATCCCACTTGACCATGATGCGGAAGGCTGAGGCGGGCCTAACTCATCAGTGCTGTCTTCCATCAACAAATCAATAATACTATTACTGGGCCTAATTAGCATGTCCGCCGTATTCATACTGCCGTTCCAGTACTGAGTTTTGACCCCATCTTTTTTGGCTTTTCTTTTCTTCTGATATATGCGACAGACAACCCAATCTCCCATTTGCATCATCAATTTCTAAGTACACACAGAATTAAGGAACAAAACCATTAATTAGACAAATAGAACATAGAAATTATGGGAAGTAAATGGAGTCTGAACTGGCAATATCTATATATATATATATATACACCTGGGTAGAGTAGTGGGGGGTGGTTCCAGATCCCACAAGGCAATACTCATGCATGACCCAACGAGTTTTAAACCCACGAGGACGAGGGCAGCGAGGGCGCCTCCCTATCCCCAATTGGTAGAATACAAGCGATTTCTTAATCCCAACCGGTTGGCTGCTTCCGGGGGTTAAAATTTGCTTGTCTTTGCCAATCGCCTTCCAATACCCAGAACCACTAATGAAAGTAGTGGTGCCGCATCTTTTCACATTCCCTCTTCTTTTGCTGAAGAAATACATCTTCTCCTCCGAATCACCTTAATTCCCCAGCAGAAAAGAATAAGGAACAACGAGAAGAAGAAGATGAATAAGAATCGGATTTGATGCAAACTTATTATATGCGTGGTCATCAACTAAGGGAAATAAAATTAACCCCATATATATGTTTGACGACATTGATGCTAGCTCATATACACATATTATGCCACTAAATTCAATGAAGGTAAGCATGAAATGCTTCTTATTTATATTTTCAATAACAAATCTGGAAAAACAAAATAAGTTTAAACTCTAAAGATGAGCATGAACTAACCTGGCAAGTCCCAGGGATTGGTCTGGTAAACATCCAACTCAGGAATGACTGAGGCAGGCAATGGCAAAGAACAGACCTTGCGGTTCAAGTAGTGAACCACCAGCTCTTCATCAGTAGGATGGAATCGAAACCCAATCGGCAATTTCATCCCTCCAATATATCTAAAAGAGTTTGACATCTCCATTTCCGGAAATGTCGAATCTCCCTCTACAGCTTTGTCTGTGTCTCGATCGAGTCTCAACCACGTTGAGTTGAGTTGAGTTGAGTTGGGTTAAGCTAAGCTAACAGATCCATGAAGAGAAACAACAACCCATCTTGTCTTCGGATAAGAGAAATGAATCGAATATGAGAGAGGGAGAGAGAAATGGCTTGAAGGGTGCTTGGAGACCTTGTGGACTGTCTTGAAGGAAATGATTGGCGTTGCGTTACTTTATATATAGTATAGATATATAGATAGATAGATAGATATAGAGAGTAGACTAGAGAGAGAAGGAAGTCCAATTCCTATTCGGACTCGAACTCCTTCCTTGACTAGGAATTGCTTTAGTTTGACGAACGTTTCAAGGACTGTTATGAGACATAAAAGGACGCGGCCAAAAAGTCAAAAACTGTGCCTGTGGCAGCCCAGTCAAGAAGCAAAGAGGGTTAAACATTCATATCACGTGACAGTGTAACATCATCCCTTATCTAACACGCATCAATGTTATTATTACCCCCAATAATTTTAATTAAATTTTACATACTAAATCAATACAAATGATTTTTTCTTTTTCTTTTTTTTTTTGGTCAGAAATTAATACAAATTATAAAGTAACTGATTTTCAGTAATTATTTAAAAATTATTTAGCGTGCTTCTTATTAAGTATCTAATAAAATTTTCAGACAACATACACCTATTTATTTTTCTAAGAATAGAAGGTTTTTACCACAATACAATTAATTATTAATTTTATTTGACTAATATATGGGTTAAAAATATGCTTTACTGGTAAAAATAAAATAAAATACAAAATAGTGTACCTTAAGCCCTGTTAATACAGTTGACAACCACCCCTCCCCCACGTTTTTCTCTATTTTTTTAACAATGTAAGTCTGGACAGTTGTTGTTAAAGAGAACAGAACACAACAAACATCTCAATCCAAATAAGTGTTTTAACCGGTGTTATCAGAATCGGACCGGTCATCAAACTGACAAACGGATCGGATCAATGGTTCACTGGTTTAACTGTTGGGTCAACTAGTCAGACCGGTCATATAATAAAAATATATATATAATAATTATAAAACTTAATAATTTAGCTAAAAAATATAAAATATGTATAAAATACATAAAATTTGTCATAAAATTAAGTAACAAAATTGGAGTTATTGTATTTTAAAGCAAAGTAAAGAGGTTCAAGTAAATTATAAAAAAAAAAAAAAAGGGTGTCATTTATAATTTTTTCAAGAATAAGGTTAAAAAAAATCAAATTATTTATTAATTTAGGGCAAAAAATTTATTTATGTAATTTAATTTTTAAAAATCGACTTTTGTTAAAAATCGGCCGATTTTTCAATTTTTAGCCGATTCGCTTTCTTAAGCGGTTCAACTAAGGAATCGGACCGATTAAGATCCCGGTTCACGATTGAACCGGTCCGATCGATCGATTCGATTTGATTCTAATAACACTAGTTTAAACAGAAGGTTGAATTGTAAATTTCGAATCCTCAAAGGAGAGAGATGGCAACTACTGTCTTGGACTTTGTCGTGTGTCCTTGAAAGTGACAATACGCTGTGAGAAAAGTGAGGACTACTTCCACTACTACTATTACACTATTTATTGGCCTTGCAATAGATAGATAGACAGAAAGTGTTCTGGTCAATAAAGTGTGAACATTAATTTATTTTACCCACCAAATAATAATAATAATAATAGATAAACCCTCCCTCCCTCCCTCCCTCGTGACTTGTCACTTTTACATCTAGTCTTGGGCCAAAAAAAAAAACACAAGAAGTAATTGTGTAGCTGAATGCAAAAGGGCAAGGAAAACACAGGTTGTCTGGACTGGACAAGTTTTGTAGGATGGATGGGCCTTCTTCACAAACTGACTGGCTAGGCTAGGCTAGGCTAGGACCTTCCATCCACTACATCAATTCAGATTACTTGGCAATATGATGCTGTCCTAAAACTAACAATCACATATTGATCCATATTAATTCGATAAACTTGTTGGCTTGGCAGACTATGAATATCAGCTTGGATAAAATAAAAAATCGTTTAAATTCAATACTTCTCTCCGCTAGAAATTCAACAAGTCAATTTTAAAGCCTGTTGAGCAATGCTCACATAATGACTTTTTTCAGCTTGTTGGTAGACATTACAATGCATAGCAGCATAACCCCAAACTTCGACCGAGTTGGGCTGTTTGCTTGACTTTGAGCAAATTGTGACTGGGCAAATTAACTGTCACATAGCACTTTTTATTTGCCACAGCAAGCAAATAAAAAGGCAAAATACAAGAACATGATAAATTAGTTGAAAATTCGCATGATATCAACTTGTCTGGCTGCAGGGATGCATGCACTTTCCGCATGATCAGAATATGGGTTGGGCCTTCAGTATTATGAACAGCATATCATTAGGTGCATGCATATATATATATATATAAATAAGCAACGTTATCGCTCAAAGGAGGGGAAGGAGAACAATTAGTAGACTCTAACTAATTCCACGTATTAAATACAAAATCATAGCTAAAGAAAGCAACTCTCGCGCAGAACATCGCACCACTCCTTCCTAAAGCAGCATAATGACAAAATCAACCCTGTCAAAGCAAGACCAACCCACATAATGCACACGTAAATTGAATCATCACGCATCAGACCTCAATAAAACCCGCTTCAGACGGCCAAATCAAATCTCTCTTTCAATCCTCTCTGTCCCATTACAACTTACTTAGGTTCTGCGGGTTGGGAGGTTGTCAAGTTGCTACTACTACTGCTCCCACCCATTTGGTTTGCTTCTCCCATTCTAGATGCCAAAGCAAGAACTTCAGGAGACATTTCCCAGCTCCCACTTTTCCTTCCCCAACTGGATCTCCTGGCATGTATTCCAGCACGATTCCCCTCAACTTGAGTCGTCCTTAACTCGGGGGACATTTCACCTAATCCACCATCCTTAATGTTCAACCCATCATTCTCACTAAGTCGCTCTTCGTGGTGATCTACCCCAATGTCTCCCCATACTGCTTTCCTGCCCATCTCTATGTCCTCCACACCTTTGCCCATGTTTGGACTAACAAAACCCCCACCAACAGACCGAGCTGGTAACTCAGGTTCCCTTGGAACCTTTGTCCTGAAATTGTTCTTCGACGGAGGGATACTGATGCAGAATATCTCCATAAAGTTCTGCACCACTCCTTTGTTATATGGGTTTGCTCTTCGATCATATCGATATCTAAAATTCTCATATGTGGTCTGCAAAAACACAACACAGAAAGAATTCCTATTGTTCACAAAAAAAATATATAATTATTTCTCTAAAAAACAAGTATTTGTAAAATTTGAACCAACGGCACCAAATACTTCAGACATCAGACAGTTCGAGCTCTTACCTGATTTGTGCTGATGAGATATAGATGAAAGGCAGTAAGACCACCAACAAACCACACTGATATGAAGGTGTAAACTATTAGGACAATGGAGGCAGGGGTTTTGATCATTGCTTTCCATATTGTTGTTTCCTCTGAATCCATGATCCTCTCGATATAGATCCAGCAGAAACTAAAAACATATACACAAAGAAGAGTCGTCGAGAAGACAAACATGAAGAAGAATCGATAATTTCGCTGCACCCAAATTGTCAAAGGTTCAGATTAAAACAATGTCACAGATTCAACAATTGTTAGAGACTATATATATATAGGGAATTAATTTTCTCCAAACCAAAAATAAGGGAATCCTACTATTTACAAGAGTAAATACAGATCAACGATCCAATTTTGCCAGGCCTAAGATGATTAGTGAACAAAATCAGGAAGAAAATATTGATAATATATTGGTGGATGTTCGTTCGGTCTTGTCTAATCTCTAATTCTTGCCCATGAGATAAAAGTTTGACTTGACTAAGTGAGAAATAGGTCAAGTGTCACAATGATAGTTTCAGATAATTTGTCATCCAGACCAATGATAAAGCCAGTCAGCCATTAATTAATGAAAAATTAAAAAAGGAGAAACAATGTTTATCCTGATGACAGATATAACTGAACTTAATGGCTTAAATGTAGATTGAATTTTGGAAACTTGAAATTTGTCAAACCAAATGGTGAATGCCTGATAGTAATTCATATTTAGAGGCTGTCAGCCAGCCATGTTATCTGAGGTTACTCTTTCATGAAAATCAAGGGTTTCAATTGACCCTTCACCACATGCACAGAGATTTATGGAACCAAGCACATCGTAGTAAGAACTTCTAACAAGAAAACTAAAGTTGCAAAGACATTGTATAGTATTTAGATGACCAAAAAAAATTTTTGAAAATCCTACTCACAATTTTGGATTTTTAATTTCAGTAATGATTAAATGTTTCAGAGAGCTAGCACTGCATGCCTTAGAGAAAAGTGTAGTAACTGGTAAGTGAAGGTTTGGCTGACAAAGCCACAACCGATATTTCTGGGAACTTGGCGCACTGTTTTGAGATATTATGCTTTTTTGCTGTAGTTTGATTATTTTTTTTTTTGTGCACGTTCTAGGTAAGCTAATGCAGAAACTGAATAAACTGATTGGACCAGCTACGGAACAGTATAGTAGTACTTTAATTGCCCAGGCATTGGGAGTAAAATGAGGAACAACCTTGGATGTTCTTCAGTCTCAAAATAGGTCTATTCTCTATCAATTAATAATTCTTCTAGTCCCAAAACGAAAATTAATTCCCACAAGCTCAAGCTCATTAAGCTCCACCCATCAGTTACAGCTTCAATAAAAAACAAATTCATAGTTCACCGAACAGAAGCAAGTGTATGAAAATCAACCAACAAAACACATAGAAGAAGCAGTAATGCTACATAATAAACATAGAAATAGTAAAGAAAATACATATCTTACCAGCCCAATGCACTGCCCGACCCAAGGGCAATGGTGGTCAAATCGTTCAACACAGTTATTGCAGATTGAACAATGTGAGCAGCGGGGAGGTCTATAAAGCATGCAGGTATCACAATACTTAATCTTCACAGTAATGCCATTAACCTCTACTTCCTTGACACGAGGCAGGCGTAATTGTGGGGTTTGACCACCACCGTCTGCACTTCCATCATAGCCTTCTGGTTCCGGAGGATGTGCATTACGAGGAATGATCCCAGGATCTCTTCCAGAGGTTAGCAGCAGAAGAACTAAAACCTGAGAAACCCAACATGTCAACTAGCCTAGAGTTTAAAACTTTAGAAATCTCAAATTACTATTTCCTTGACAGATACGCGTGCAAGATGGGTTGTTAGTGCTTGAGTCGAGTCTAAAAGTTTGCCCATTTAT